TTGTCTGTGATCGTTTCGAAGAATTTCCACTTCACAAGTATGTTCCCGTGAATACTTGCGAATTACGAAGCACTCATTCGTGTCCATCTTAGTTGCTCTCAAGTGCCAGTTGCAACTGCCTTCGATGCAGGCAACTGTCAACAATGACTTGTTTGATTTCTTTACCTTGAACTCAAAGTTATATTTTAATGTCAGTCGGTGCACAGCTTCCTGCAAATCTTTCTTGGTTTCAAACAATTGCTCGACATACAAGTCCTCATAATCGGAAGCCACAAGAGAAAAATTGGAGGACGGTCCACTTGTTCCAACCTGTGAGCTCCCACCCGGCTCATATCTCTGTTGGGATAAAGCAATCAAATTCTCATTTGTAAACTCGTTTATATTCTCATTGTCTTCAACCGTCGACGGAATTCTGCGCGTAACAGCGACATCATGATCAGAAACAACTGTCTCAGGAATATCACATCATCCGCAAGAACTATCTCCACTGTCTCCCAAAAACCTCGATCATTGTTATCCGCCCTATCTGAATCTTCGCGTTCACCTTCGATAACATCCTTCGTAATTAAAGTCACACCAAGAACAGTCGGAGTCCGATGCATTTTATTTAATTCTAATAGATAATTCAATTCAGCATCATTGGTAACGAATACCGGTGGCATCGGAATGGATGAATCCCCATAAACGTTGAATAGATATCTCAATTGTATATTGTATTGAGATTGGTCGACATTCAACTTATTTTGCAAATCGTGGTACATTTCTAAGTATGATGTACTCTCTGTTATGGGAATTGCAATACAATCACGTATGTCACTCGTCCATCTCCATTCTCATCGATTATTTTCATTCAATTCGAAATCACCGAAATAACAGACGGGGATTATCATATGTGCATGAAGAAATGGATTTAATCAACTTCATTTATTAATTATAAGAAAAAAATAATGCATTGCGAATAAAAATCGGTGCCAACAGTCGGTTGTCAACAGCCAACTGTCACGTGACTGTTTGGCTGTTTAACAGCCCACAGTCAAGTAACTGTTTGGCTGTGCTTTTCTGTTTTCCGCATTACGTAGAAGAAAAAAATTATAGATCTGTTCAAATTTTTTTTCATACGTTCGATCTGCTAAAAAAAATTAATACTAACTATTACTATGTCGAAATAAATTTTCTCTATTCAAACGTATACTAATTTACTGAAAAAGAAATTAAACATGCGTAAATATACTTACCGATTTGAAGAAATTGATATGAAAATTTTTTTCGACTTCAGCGTTTGAACTTTTTTTGAGATGTTGAGGTTCAAGCAGATGAAAGATGAGAGTTTTTTCTGTCTTGAAAGCTCGTTTTGAAGTTTTATAAGAGGGAAAGTATTTGGTTTTTAATTATTAATTAAAAGAGTAGTAAAGTCTTTTCAACAATACATTGTTTTGTAATTGTATAATACATTTAAATGCATCCTTGTCTTTTAACATTCAAGAGGCCAATGTGATAATATTCATGATTTTCAAAATCGAAGTGGAATTTCCTCCCTTGACTGGGTCAAACTAAAAAGTACCCCGGATTTGCTAGACAGCACCTAACTTCTATAAATTTGCTTTATGTTCCTTAATTTATTTCAAAATGATCGCTCAATTTTTGTTTTTGTTTCAATTTGATTGGTATATTTTATATACACCCCTCGTTGTCTATAAAATGTTTGATTCGACGCTTGCAATATCATTTCCATTCTGGTCCTAAACCTACGTAAAACACGGAGTGGAGTTACTTTCATCCATTTGACATCTAAAAAAAGCTGGAATGATGAATTAAATTGGGTGAATTGCTATAATATGGTGTGATATTATGCAATTCATCTATTCGACTATCAGCGGTCTTTTAAGGCAAAAATCCATGTTGGTTCAAGATGTCATCACTAGTGGTTTTCAATGAAAGTTGATAAACGACGAACAAATTTGATCCTCAATGATTTGTGCATTTTTGTCTATTGCTCTTCCCAAGACAAGTCCTTTACTTGTCATCTTATCAGTACATTGAGGGATGAAATGAAAATAAAATTAATCGCCTCTTTTTGCCGATTGACAATTAGATGATTCAATCCATTATTTTAAGTCATGATCATCGAGAAGATTGTCTTTTATGTCATTATGATTCTATAGGTCGATATTTTGTTACAAGCGGGTATAATATGTTTCTCAATTCCCATATAACCTAGACCAATGTCCTGTCTACAACGAGCTGTCTTAAATAATGAAAGGAGTTGTTGAAATTGTGCCTCCCCCCAAAATTGCTATTTTTTATTTTTAATTAAAAAAAGGACCTTTGACGTGTTGATGACAATAAGTTGTTACAAAATTATCCAAAAACTGTTGTTGTAACTACTGTTCTAAAAAGCGCGCATTGGTCACGCCTGACTAATGCACGGTCTTATTTAGCGGTCAACAGCAATCGTTGACAGCTAATGCGCGTTTATGTGCGGTTATGAGCACCTAGGCATGCATAATTACTTTTATAAATTTTTTTAACAATTCTTCTAAATTAAAAGTTAAATATTGATTTCTTCATTTCGTCGGTTCTAAATTCAAAATAGTCGCTTGAAATTTTGAATAAAGGAAAATTTCCAAAAATTCTTATTTATTCACTATTTAATATTTATATTTGGAACTTATCTTTTTGTTGAAAAATATATAAATTTCCTATAAATTTATTTTAAATATTTGGCAAATATTATTTTTAATTATTAAACGATTTTTCGATTGATTAAAAATTAAAATAATATTAAAATAAAAAAAATGTCTTTTTACGCTTTTTTACTTTTATGCCTCGCATAAGCTCGCCTAGACCATAGCTTAGCCTCCACTCCTCGTCATGCATTATGCATTTTAGAACAACTAATCAAAAGTAAATGTGCGTTGCACGTTGTTTTGAAATACTTTATAAGTGCATAAAAATAATATTTGAAGATACATGAATTAGAGAGATAACTGTGAGAAATTATGTATATGAAATCAACTTTTTATTCAATGAGAATCTATTTATATACTATTTTTTTTGTTTGATTCATAGCACAATTTTCATGATTCCACTCACAAAACCCTTGCGACGTAGTTGTTTCTGAGCTTCTAAGCTCTGAATCTCATATTTGTTCACTCTTATCCCCTCGGTTGTTAGTGTTGCAGAAGCGTTCTCATTAAATGTTGATGCCGAAGACCTCATTCATTTCAATTTTTTCTTCAAATTGAATAAATTACATTGGTGGGCAGATAATCAGAAACAAATAAAAAACATAATAGATGTCAGTTGATCAATTTTCTCCCTTACGATCGAGGGTAAACCTTGATAAAAAGTTGAAGGTAATAATGAATGCACTTTCTTATAGGAAAGTAGTACCTAACAAGGTACATATCCATAGGTCCCATAGTGCTCCGGAGAATTATTCTGTATCTCCTCTGTGGATAATCAATTGCCTGAACAAATCAAGAAAATTCATAAGTATATATGCAGTATAGATTCTTGTGCAATACTTGGCTCTAAGTTATTGGTCACTTTTTTAGAAGAAAGTAAAGAAAACTAACCTCACAAAGATCTGGAACTTCTAAAGTGGTGCCATGTGGAGCTTTGAGTGCTATCAAAATTTCATTATGATGAAATAAACATACAAATGCTTCAGTGAGAAACCAATGAAAACAGCGGGGAAGAACTGATGTGAAATACCTGAAAGCAAGATAAACTCTTCACGTCGTCTTCAGTCACAAATAGCCACCTAGTGAAGAAAGGTATGTACGTGAATCTACTAATGTTTGTGTGCGAATACTTTGGTTATGAAAATAAATAATTGATGTAGTTAATGTTTTTGGTTCATGCATGCATTTATGTGTGAGTACCTTGGTTATGATAATGAATAATTTATGCAGCTAATTGCTTCGGTTCATGTATGCATTTATCACTTTATATGTGTGGCTCCTAAAAAAATTAAATAGCTCCAAAATTTTATGAAGAATAAATATTAGTCTTCACCATAAACTTCCCTTTATTTAATTTAATATGAGAAATCTGGTAAAAAAATATATTTTAATTTATTTTACAGCCCGCAAACAAGATATTGGCTCATCAATAAACAACTAAAATAATACTGGAAATAACATTCTATTCACGTTATACATGTGTGTCCAGTTTCTTTTGTAATAATAATGGTGAAGAAGAATATTAATTAAAATACTTATTTACTTTCAAAATTAGTCATTATTGTGATATCTAAAC